CCCCCCCCCCCCCTCTCTCTCCCTCTCTAAATTCTACAGAGTTTCTCAAACCTTACAAGACCGTTTGTGCTCCAGGTACTAGATTTGACTTGCTGAACTTAAATGAAAAGGAATATAATATCACCCGATAAAAGATGATGCTAATTTGTGTACAACATACCCTCCTGCCAGTCCATCTCCAAAGCCTCCAAAGATATGAGAGCCTTGGAGGCTTCATTCATGGCAAGCCCCTTGCGTACATCAAACGTTACCAATCCCAGATTTTAGATCCTATCAAGAGGCTCAGTGCGATCTTGCACTGCAAGCCGCTCTGAAACATCAGCAAGTGACTTAAGATTGCATTTAATCAAGGCTTCCACAAAGTAGCATGTTTCGTCCTTTGTGTTTCCTTCAGGCACATCGACCACAAATGATTCAATTACCAAAGTCCCTGGTCTTCCATCAATGATTTCTGGATGCAAGGAGATGATTGAAGAGTAATTCTGAAAGAAAGTTACAGATTATTAAAATTTATTACTGATTTAGACACACTAAAAAATGGACCATCTAACTAGGTATCCCCAAAATATTGTCATAGCTATTAGAACTATATTGTCGTCTAAACAAAGCAGAATTTCCTGTTTAATTCATCAATCACAAAGAAAGTGTCATGATAGAGCTTTGATTCATGTTAATCCTTAATTGGACAGTCAAATGATACTAATCATAAGAAGCTCATTATTTTCTATTCCAAAGCACATGCCGCAAACACAAATAGTTAAAATTACATGAAAGATGAAGATTCAAGCCAACTTGAGCTTGCAAATCCGGCGCATTATCTGTGGGCAGAAATGACTACCAAAAGCTCGTTTAAAACAAAATCATGGCGAAAACTCTATAACATGATCATTATTATCAGGCAAGTCCAAAATATTTTCAATAAGAAATGTTCTCAACAGTTCCTCCTTTTGCACATATGTAATCACAGTTCCCTGAGATACTGATTTGATGTCATTGTAAAATAGGTTAGACTAATCTTTGGATAAATTTAGGTTTTAAACATTCAAGGGTTGAATATCAGCAAAAATCTGTTTTGCTCAGAAAATATGAATACTACAAATATTCTCATGCCTATTTTATAGAAAACAGAACAATTAGTTTCACCCTGAAAAGAAAGATAAAAATTGCATATTCAGCCAATATCAGAACCATGGAGTTCTCCAAGAAAGGAGCAGATAAAAAATACATTGAGACCTGTACCTTGAGTCTGTGATCTCCGCCAACAATCCTCATGCTAAGGATGTGCCTATCATCATCAAGGAGTTCCAATCTCTCTGTACTCGTTGTGGCTGGAAGCCCCGATTTCACATCAACTTCTCTGAGAGTCCCGATCTCAAGGTTTCCCTTCAAAACACATCTGCTAACAAAAGGTTTGTATCTTTGTGGTTGATCAAACCTCCTTACCAGAGACCACACCTGGAGAAGAGCCATTCCAATTCCGAAAATAATTAAGTACAAATGAAGGCAAGAATCCAATAACCCAAGCTACGATAATATACAAATATCATCATAATTCTTATTACAAACTTGCATTTTTATTGTTCAAATAGGATCAAAAGACCTTCCATAATGGTTCGCTTTCCAAGTTCTAATAATTCCAAAAACATCCATATGATCTCAGATATAGAACAAATGAAAACATAAAGCAACCATAGTTTCTTAGTTCCTCATAATGCAATGCGTTTACATTTTTTACTTAAAGTTTGAACTGTAAGACTATACCTTTCACTTTCTTTTTAAAAAAAAACTACCTGCATAAATCAAATTCCAAAATTTATGAAAAGAACCTCTTGTTAGCAGTTGATTCATTTAGAATTGCTATTATACTCTGCTTCTGTATTCTCCAAATGTTGTTTTTAACAACACCCCGAGAAAACAATGTCTTCTTTCGAGAATATATCCAAGGATTGAACTCGCCCACAAAAGGCAAGAAAGGAGCCGTGATGATGATTGGGGTATAATGCATGGACGTTCGGATTTCCATATAAACATAGGATAATGCAGAAACCAACAGAAACAACTAAGTTAATAAAATAAGATACAAGTTATCACGATACATACAGCACTAATTGAGGCCAAACCGATCGGTTAGATCCTCCAAATTTGGAAACCTCTTAGACCATTAGTGTTGAGAAGTAAACTAGGATTTGAAAAACATAAAATCAATAAATAATGAAGAAAGCCATCTTCATCAACAGAATTTAAACTGGACAGAGAAAGAGGGAAGATGATTTACAAGATGAACAGGAGCTTTAATACGCTTAACAAGCTGAGAGGTGCACTGATTCTCAGCAGGCTCAGTCCTGTGGTACCTCCGAATAAGCTCCCATTCCGCGTTACTGAATCCTCCTACATTCCCATTCCGACTGCTGTTACCATTCATTTTCGCTACTGATTCTCGTTCTCCACACAACAAAATCAAACTCCACAGCTAAATCAAACCACTTTTTCTCCTTCCTCCCTCGTTAGTTAAAAAAACAAAAACAAGAAGATCGCAAAATTCAACTCTCTCTGTAGAATCATAAAAAAAAAAAAAAAAAAAAAAAAAAAAAAAAAAAAAAAACAAAATCTCCGTCAGAAACACACACTAGATTTGGTCTCTCACTGGAAAAACGGCGCGGAGACTCACCGCCATAGACGACCGATCGAACTTAGCCTCAAAGCTTTTTCCTCTCTTCCTTCGTCTCCTCTTTATCGCTTCATATAAATTTTCTCTCTTAATTAATTAATTAATTTAATTAACTATCTTCTTTTCCTGCTTTAATATATTAATGATCTCTTGTCAATGACAACAATTTTCAATCCCGAAACTACCCCTATCTTTTGCATATAATCACGTCTTATGCCCTTCCCCTTTTATTCCGACTTTTCTCGTCGTTATCTTTAACCGTTGGGTAAAAATAGAAAGGTGACTTTTTATTTTTAACCGCAAAAATAAATTATAAATAAATAAATAAATTTCTTGTCGGCGGTTATTTGTATTTGAAACCGCTATCCTAACGGTGCCGTCTGCTACACTTGACGGCAGTTGATATTTTTGTTGAGTGAGATATTTATCTATATTAAATAAATTAATAAATACTTGTTTTTTTTTTTTAATATTAATAATAATAAAAAAATCATATTTTCTTCCTATTTTTGTTTAACAATTTTGAGATCTTAGTCAACCTTTTAAAAGCTATTCATTTTAGATTTTATTTTCATATATTCATTTTAGATTTTATTTTCATATAAAAAAATTTAATTTTTAATTATTGTTAGGATTTTTAAGTACGAAAATAAATAGATTATATTATAGACATTTGGATCATTTTCATATATTACAAAAATTTATACGAAATTTTCTGATTAACACTTAAACAAGTTATAATCATTTGTCCATAATTCCATAGATACTTTTTGGATCTCACAATCTATAGAAGGGGTTTAGCGTCCTTGATGACACACTGCTTCGTGTCCACCCCCTTCGGGCTCAGTCTCCTCGCTGACACATCGCTTGGTGTCTGCTTTGATACCATTTGCACCGCTATATTTCATTATCCTCCTTAAATGTGGGATCTCACACTCATTAAAGATACATACACTCTTGATCAAAATGTCTAAAGTCTAAATTTTCTGTCCTACTGTGATAAATGAGAATATGAAGATTTGACCCTCTGACCTAAAAGGAGGTAGTACATGTCAATTATCGTTGAGTTATGCTCACTCTAACGACCTTTTGTTGCTAAACTAAAAAGAATAATGTAGGCACATGACATTAGCGGGTCGAATTGGTTTAGAAAGGTAACCATCAATAATGTGATGGGAAGTGAAATGGGATGGAACACCAATGGCTTTAGACACTTTCCTTGGTTCCCTTAATAGCTAAAGTCACACTCACACATGCAAAAGGGGTTTAAAGTTTCTTACACAAATGGTAGGAGGATGGATTTTTAGTTCTCTCTCACTTTAATAATGAGCAAAAGTATCGGTGGTCATTTATTTAAGTTTGTCCTAGAGAATCTCAAATAGATCTCGAGATGAAAATATCAGCGTTACCGTTCAATATACAGATAATATATTAGTAAAACTGTTAATTCAACAACGGAAATGAAGGAAAATGAGTTCTACCCAATTCGAACCAAATGTTTATGAGAGATTGAATTGGGTTGGGTTGGGTTGGGTTGAATCGGGTCGAGATATTTTGCAAACTCAAAGTAATTGTTCAAGTTATAAAATTTTTCAATTCAAACAATTCTCTAACAAAATCACATTTGAAGTGAGGTTGGTGGGTCTAGCTCAATTAGATGAAATTATAACCCTACGTGTGAGTCAAGGCTTGACTCGATGAAACGAGAAGCTAGCGTGTATGGACCCATCCAACTACATGTGGAAGTCGAACCATTTACTTTAAAATGATAATTATTGTTATTTTCATTAAGTTATACTCAAATTGGTCGTATCATAATAGCAACTCACACAATATCATTTGATATTGTGATTCGCTTCACGACCTTGAACGATGTCATCTCACCTTCAGCTGAACACCGTACATGCAATCAATTGATTGCTAGTCCAAATAAGACCCAACTAACCTTGAATTTTTTTCCCTACCACGAAAATTATTTATTAGGTCAAAGAACCGTAAAAAACGTCATTCCAATATACAACTTTTTTATAACTAAATATCTTTATCAGTCACGTGAATGAAATACTTTCACTTTTTTTTCAATTCAAATGCAAATCATTATTTCTTATATAATAATGTCTTAACCAATAACTATTATCCTTAATGCTTCATTTGTTTTTGAATTGATCAAATATTTAAGGAATATAATTGGGACAAAAAAAAAGAGGATTCCCATATATAATAATAATAATAATAATGGAATGAAAATATGATAAATGAATTTTAAAAACTTTAAAGCGAAAAATATTATTTTATGTTTAATAGATGTGGTAGATAAATTAATTAAAAAGCTAAATATGTTTATTAATTAGTATATAATCAAAATTAAAACTTAATTTGATGAAAGTTTTTGTTTAAAATATTTAGACTAAATTGGGATTAAATTATTATAAATTAAAATTAATTAAATTATTTTGGTGAAAATTTAGAAATTAAATATTTTAAAATTTATAAAAGTTTAGTATGAATTAAACTAATAAAAAAAGTTTATAGTTTAAACAAAATCTTTAGGAAGTAGGGTTAGGTTAAAGTATGACGTAATAAATTCTTAAACTCATTGTGGGTCCCACACACCTTCACCTCCAATTTTCCTTGGTGGGCTCCACAACTTCACTTTCTGCTCTTTTCTAAACTTTTTTTTTTTTTTTCCCTAATTTAACTTATAATAGTTAAAATAATATGTATAATTTTATTATTTTGAGATAAGAAAATATATTTTAGATTAACACGTATTATATCCTAATATTAAAAAAAGTTAATGTATTAAAATAGTATATATATATATATATAATTATTAAATTAATCATATTCAAATAACAAAAATAAATTATATGTATTATTTAACTTAATTATTTTAAAACTTTAAAGAATTCGTTTCAATATATACCTAAAAAAATACCAATATATATATATATATATATATATGTTTTAAAATGGATGAAAACAAATCTTTTATAAAGAAAATTGACCAAACCATTGGAATCTAATTCTAATTTTACAATAAAATAATGCCAAAAAACTTATTTTCTTTATATCAGTCAAAATTGGAACTTTAACAAAATTATAAAATATTCATATAAATTAGATCATAATGAATATTTTATCATTTTGTTTATATAAATATATAAGTTATCGTATTCGTTTCTCACTCGTTATTTTACAATTCTATTCATATATGATCAAGTTTATATGGCCAAGTTTGCATGTTATCTTTACCATTTGTCATTTAAGGGGAGGGAGTTTTGGAGCTGAGTCGACGAAAAAACTTTTTATTCAAACAAAATAAGTATGGCGCTCTAAGTATAAAATTTCTTTAACTCATGTTAAACAACTTAGCGTTTCACAAATTATTTACGGACGAAATAACTAAATATACAACATAAGTCTAGACTTAATATCTTTACTTTGGATCGTACTCGAGTAGACAACAAAAAAAGTTTATACTAATACAAATTCCCACAAGCAAGATGCCTTTGAAGCCTTGATGTGGGTCGCAACAAGCAATGAAAATGGAAATTGCTAAAAATATCAAAGTGGGTTTGGAAAAAATGAATAAGAAATTCAAAGGCAGAGCTGAAAAAGAATGGTGATATCAATGTTACCAAGAAATTGGAGGAATGGTTCCCCAGACAGAAAGTGAGGACTGCATATATCCCCTCACTCTTCTTCTCCAACCAAAGGCATCATTCTCCAGTTAAAGATGAAGCATTTTTTCACTAATAAAACAACCAAAAAAGCAGACCATTTCATTATTGTACTTGAAATTCCTCATGTCAGGCACCTGTCAATCTCTCATTTCCAGAAGAAAAGAGAGAGAGAGAGAGAGAGAGAGACAAGCATTATGATTTATACACATGCAACAATGAATGCAAAAAAAACAAGAATGATCCAATGCATTTGATCAAGTAAATTAAAGATCCAAGTGTAAGTGATTTGGTGTTGTTGGGTTCTATGATGCAGAAAATCAAGAAAAAAATTCTCTACAACAGCTGATTTGAATGGTATTTATGAACTAAAATGGAGAAGTAAAGCATCCTGAACCAATTATTGCAGATCATATGGTGCAAATTATTTAGGAGCAAGAAAGATCTCCCACAGCTACCACCATGTACAACAAATGCATAAAGATCTAAGCAGAATGGCATATTAAATTAAGAGCACAGATGGAAGAACCAAGCCACTATTGAAAAAGGCAAAGAAAATGCTGTCGACACAGTGGCCAATACATGGATATATAACCTAAACAGAGTGCTGATTCGCTCAAAAGAAATCTACAACACTGGATTTAAATTGGTTGTTTGTGTCGGAAATCTTATATAAAATGTCAAGCCAAAAATCATGAATGCATCCTATGATTCTTAAGCCTGTGACTAATTGGACAATGACTAGAACGCACAAAGATTTAAGTATCAATTCTCTAATTCACAGCACCAATCAGATACACACTAGTTAGATCAGTACTAACTTTTATAAGCTCTGCAAATCTTCATCCATGTGATTATTGGTGTAAAGTGCCCAACAAAAAACAAATTACGTGTCATAATTTGCAACAAAGGAAGATTTTGGTATTAAACTAATATAAAGAAAGATTGGCGGTCACAAACATTAAGATATTTTGCCACAGAGCCATTACGAAATTCCTCCACTCCTATTAGCTGAACATATTTTATTCAGAAGGTTGCCTGTTGGCTAACCTTTTAAGATGTTCTCTCTTCCCCTCCGTGCGTTCATCAAGACGCCAATTGAATTATAACGTACCTGCAAAACTCAAAATTTCCACCCATGCACATGTACACAGAAGAGAGGAGGCATGTGTGTTTGTATGTATATGTTGTATGTTGTGTGAATGGTGTATATTCATGGTCATACCGTGCACAATGACACATCAATAAAATGACTTTTACATGCGTTTGTGACCATTATGTAGCTATTGTATATGACAATTATTAAACATGCCCGTATGCTTGCTCTTTCTGGTAGAAACACCAAGTGCCATCTAATACTAGTTTGATGTTTTTACTTGTACCTGACCACCCAATTTCTGTACGT